GACTGATGCTGACATGTGCTACATGAGAGCTAGTCATCATAATTTTGATTTTCAATGTCATATTTGACTTACCTGCAGAAGAAAAATCATTACTTATTTTCTGAAATAGTATAGGATCATACTTCAGTGAAATAATGGTTTTTAAGAACAGAACTATATCCATGTGTTTTGTTAGTTATCGAAAATTACCTAAACTCACTAATATTTATTAATTATTTCTTCTCCTACAAATCTTTCCTTAGCAATTGGAACTCTGTCAGAGATTATATAAACTGCACTTCCAGCTGCTGTTGCTTTTTCAGTCCTACTGTAAACTTATTGGACAAGTGCACGAAGTGAGTTCCATGCCAGAGGTATGTAACAAATTACAAAATCTTATACTGAAAATTCCACTTTATTTTCATGTTCTTATTTTTCCTTCTATGAACTTAGCACCAAAGATTACACTATTTCACTATTATGTCTGCAGGCATACATAGTCAACTTAGTACATTAATGTCATGTCTTTCTAATTCTGTAATGTTTACAAGCTTTTTTCTTCAAGCTTTTTGACACAGCACACTCTCGCTTTTGACCCAAATAGCCTTTTGTTTTTAGATAAATCTATGTATCTTACTTTAAAAAAAATTTCACAGGAACAATACTGTTTGTCAGCTTTATTTTCAGCAATTGCTTAAAATACGAAATACTTTGAAATACCTTTGAGGTGATAACTTTAAGTTGAATGATCATAATTTAAGGAAAGATTTAACTTGCCATTCCGTATGTATTTTTCTCTTAGTAAGGTTTATGTATTTTAAATTATTGAGTAGAATAAGTTACTGTATTTTGCTTTGTGAAGTAAAATTTGAAGCTATGACGTATTTATGACAGATTCTAGTAGTTTAGAGATGGTCTATAAATGGAAATGGTTTGGTTTATGTGCTATAGTAGTACAAAGAATTTGAATACTTACTGTCTCTTAAGGAACTATTCTGAAGGCTGGCTCAGAATGTGACTGGGCTGTTCACTTTTAAGAGAAGACAGGACAGTAGGCATCTAGTCCACTACTACTAGAATAGTCTTAAGTTTTAGAATATTATGTGTTCCTTATAATTGATTTCTGTAACTGTATTACACAGTTATGACTTTGTTGGATTTTTATAAATAATGCAGCCTGTGGAACTGGGGAACAATTGTATGAGGAGCTGTTTCACCATGAAATTTGCATATTTTGCTGGAGCCATAGGCTATTATTTAAAGGAGGTTCCATTGTTAGTACACGTGACAGTGGTTATTTTTAGCATGTGTGAGCATGAAGAAGTAGATCCTTAGAAATTAATTAACTTATTAATTATTTATTAATGTTGTTGCATATTAACTTTTCAGCCTGACAAAGGGTTATACAATTCCTGTCCATCTGTTAATCATATTGGATCCTGCATATGTTTTGTAAATAGATAACATCTTCCAGGAGAAGTACAATTTCTTAAACTTTTCTGCTATGATATGAAAAAAATTGGAAGAGGTGAAGATTAAAAGCTTGTTTAGATGTGCTCTTGCATTTTAGCAAGCCAAAACTACAGCATAAGGTTAAAGGATGCACAAAGTTAAAAGATCTGTAGTTTGTGTTTTCCCCATAAAATGTACAGAGATCAAGAAATGTCCTTGTGTTAAAATGAGGTCTTTTCCATGTGTGCATTCAATGTAGTAGTAAGAACATACTTGAAATATCTACTCCTTTTGGGGCCTATGGAAAATGAAAATACCCATCTCTCATCTTTCTCCTTGGAACAGCTGTTAAATATGTCAAGAGAACTGAGTGAACTGAAGAAAAATCTGAAGGATGCTACTGCTGCAATCGCAGCTGAGCCTCTGACAACAGAATCTGAGCCCTCATTCAATTCTACTGAAGCAGCTATTCAGTCCATGCTGGAGTGCTTGAAGAACAATGAACTTGTTAAAGCCATCCGACAAATAAGAGAATGCAGGCAAGTTTTGCTACATGGTTCACGTTAGATTTTCATGTTATTAGAAAATTATGCATTTATTATCATCCTAAATTTATACTAAATGTAATGCACTGATTCAGCATAGTTAATTAATATGTTTCAACAAGGTACATGGGGGCATTGATATTAACTTTTGCAGGGGTGTGTCACCAGTAGCTATCAAACATGTATGCTTGCAACTATTAAGATGTTTAATTACATTGTGTAGATCAAAAGTCCTGTGAGGCTTTTAAGAATCTTTTTATAGAGGTAATTCCTTACAGGTGCATGTCACTGACATCAGCTAACGTTCAGTCCAGTTTCACTTCCACTTATTTGAATGAGTTCTCTTAAGCATTTTTTTACATGATAGGAATTGGGCTTTTATGTGATTTCAGTGCCTGATACCAGAGGCTGACTAACAGTAGTGTAAAACAGTGAGTTGCTTTTGTTTTATAAGTGTGTGCAAGTCCATTCTCCTTTTAGAGATCTCTATCACATAGCTTCTGTCTGTGTTGATAAACCCATAGTGATACACATGTTCTTTTCCTGTTTCTTTGCAGGATTTTGTGGCCCAATGATATCTTTGGAAGTAGCTCTGATGATGAAGTCCAGACACTGCTGAACATTTACTTCCGCCACCAAACCTTGGGCCAGACAGGCACCTATGCACTGGTGGGCTCCAACCAGAGCCTGACTGAAATCTGTACCAAATTAATGGAACTGAACATAGAGATCCGCGACATGATTCGCAGAGCTCAGAGTTACCGGGTCATCAATACTTTTCTTCCAGACTCCAGCGTTTCTGGCACAAGTCTCTGACAGGACCCTTGTGTCCTCTTTCAAGCTGGGAGTGCTGCCCTGTGGGAGTGAGGTGGCTCAATGTCTTCTCAGCCTTACAAAGGTTTGGTCAAACTGTACTCGCTCTTGTTACATTTAGGATTTCTTCTAAAAAGCGATGGGCTGAACTTCAAATGTGTAGCAATACTGTAAAGACAGAGGTAGCATAGAGCACCCAGGAAAACGTCCTCTGTTCTGTGTTGCACAAAAATCAGTTAGTATTTCACTGAGCAACTGCAACTCACTACTGAAGAAGTGACTTCCATTGCATACCAAAGCCTATTACATGAACAATACTTCCTTTATAGCAAATTAATTTTAGGTTGGTAAAAGTGCAATGTTTCCTTCACAAAATAGTATTTTTTGTTAAAAAAAAAACAAACAAAACAAACCCTTGTACATTTTTTCCTTTTTTCTCTTATTTAGTTGAGTGAAAGATGGGCAGAATGAAGCTGGCCACGGAATCTTGCAAACTTGTTGGTCAAAAGCTGAGAGCCTGTGTATATGAAACAAATTGTAAATGGACTACAGTTTAATGTACACTGTAATTTGAATATGATTACTGTATCTTAAAACAACAAGCTGCTATGAAGTACATTTCCTAATGTTACTAGGCTACTGTCTCTGAAGGTACTGGATCATATTGCAGAGGTCTGTTCTTAGGCCCCCCCAAGGATCATGAATGGTCTTGGTAGATTTTTTTTTTTTTTTAAGGACCTTGGCTGCTTTTTACTAGAAGGTTGCTTTTATGAATATATTTATACTATTAAAGGATGGTTGATCTAATTTAACTTGCCATTTTATAGGAGAAAGTCCCATCACAGAGTCAAATCTTTTTGATTTGATTGTTAAGCATGCATATTTTTATTTAATATAAATTTTGAGTATAAAAAGTGAAAATATTAACGTGAAATGCAAGTTCTCATGTTAAGTTTCTTTAAAGAGATGTCTTATTTTATTTGTAATGTATATATAAAAGTCATAACTATATGGGTTTTTTCTTACATTTAACTGCTGTCCAGTGTTAAATGTATGCATGTAAATCTGTTGCACACCTGAGATACTTTTATTCTGACTGTGTAACTTATTCACGCTGTAAATACACTTACCGTTTTTGTGAAGTAACTTTGAAATTTGGATTAGTACATCCATTTAACTAAAACATAAAAGTCATATATAATCACAACAGAGTATGTGCTTGTTGTGAAATTATGTTCTTGTCTAAATCCATACTGTTGCAGAGGGTATCCATGATCAGCAGCCCCCAAAAGACACCTTTCTCACCATTTATGCCAAAACCATTCACTGTACTGACAGAAAACAGCCAGAAATATAAGGATTTTTTTGTCAGGCTGTAGTTACAACTCAACTTTGAAAAGCACAGTGACAAAAGCAGTTTCATTAATCTTCCACTGACAGTGAAGACCTTCAGAAGTTCCTTCCTCCCTGAAGTATCCTGATTCTTCACAGATTCATACAAAATAACCCATGATGTAACCATCTAGCTTTTTAGCATCATTCCTAAACTTTAGGTAGAGGAGAAATCAGACTATTCCCAACAAAGCCTCACTAATATCCTAAGACAGCATGAACTGCAACAATACTCCACTGTGCTTCTACCACACCAGTACTTTAAATAGGATTCCTCTGGTTCACTGCATTTTGTCTCCCTGAAAGCACATTCAGGTACTTTCTTCAGTTTTATTTAAGCCACCTACCCTGGAGACACCTTACATGACTGGCAAGCTTCTGAGGCATGAGCCTGTGTTTAAACCAGGAGCACTGGGACTTGTTCTACCACTCTGGAGGACTCATCAAGTCTAGACAATTTGTTACACTCCCTCACAGATGCTCCCACTCAAGAGGTTTTTCCCTTGTTATCTTACAGACATAGTCTTCCAGCAGATAGTCTTTGATTATCAAACAGCTGTGATTTTTTTGAATATACATTTGACAGAGGCAGTGGGAAGACACACCAGACTTTACACTCCAGAACATTTGCATGTTCCATCCTAGTTCAGTTTGAATGACTGAAGGAAAAACTTGCTCTTGCAGCTTTAATCTTAACACTCCTTCAAGGCAGACTAAAAACAAAGTCTACTTTTTTCAGGAAATCAAATAGGTTTTTTCCTTCCAGATATATTTTCCTCTTTCATCTAAGCAAGATGAAACTAAGGGGTATCAAACTAGTGCAAACTTTTCTTCAACTTTATTTACAGCATATATACAGTGAAGTTACATACTTTATAAATAATACAAATGTCTTTGTCCATTATCCAATGCCAGGTCAAAAGCCTTAAGTCAAAACACTGCAAAAGACTGACAAAGTGCAAAGCACAAAACAGAAGAGGGTACACAGATCAGACAATGTATTTGAAGCTGTAAGTGTTATCACAGGATAGCCTCTTCCCTTTGCAGCGGCCACAAAGTTCTTGGCGATGTGGTCTCTTGAGATCAATGTGTCTTTTCTTCTGAGGGCAGGAGCAACGAGTCCTTGAACAGATCTTAAGAAACAAGACATGTTATTGGAAGTGGATTAAAGGTGCTTACCTCATGCCTGTGCTAACAGACTGACATTTAGTTTTCCTTAATCATAGTAACACATTTGGACTGATAGACTTAAGAGCTCTTGTGGTAAAAACCCCGTGGAATTAAGCTGTAAGAACCTTCTCACCTAGAAGAACAAAACCCTACCCTATCTGTCGGTAGCCATAATGCTGTATGAACAGAAAATTGTTCATGTAAGCCATGCACAGGAGGAGGGAGGCGTACCCATCACACTTTTTCCAAATAACATTTCCTAGTATTTTGATGAAATCAAGTTTTTCTTCCAGATAAAGTCAATATCAAGTTCAACAACTGTTAACTATTAGAGCATATAACAACTGTATCCTGCCATATGTTAACTTACCTGGCACTGGATTGCTTCCACTCGATAGGGATTGAAACCCTTTTGGCATTTTCGACACAGCTGCTTGAAGTACACCTGAAAAGAAGGCAAGTTTTCAGTTACTGTAGCAACTTATTCAAGGTGTTAAGTACAGGTACCTAAATCTGCACCAAAACACCAGATTTGGTGCCATTCTTACAAGTTTCAGGAACAAAAGAAAATGACTTTGTTAACTACCTTGTTGCTTCCAGAAATGCACCACACATAAGCACTCTCCCATCTGGTCTTGCAGTCTTTGCAGTGGAAATAGCCATACTTCTGCTCCAAGAACTGCAGAGACAAGAGTATACTGAGCATCCTTCCAGCACCCTGAGAACATCCAGCTCAGCTACCTTGTTATACTCCCTGAGGGCGGGGAGACACTGAAACAGGCTGCCCATAAAAGTCATGGACGCCCCATTGCTGGAAGCGTTCAAAGCCATATTGGATGAGACTCTGAACAACATGATGTAGTGGGTGGCATCCCTGCCCACGGCAAGGGGGCTGGAACTGGGTAATGTTTAAGGCCCTTCCAACCCAAACCGTTTTGTGGTGCTATGATACACCCCTGTGGGTTTTCAGAGGCTGGAGGCTCTGCTGCTTCTGGGGAGACAAAGCCTGTCCGGGGACCACCGTGCTGCTCAAGAGAGGATTTCTGGCCCCCCTTCTTCAGGGTTGGCCCCCCGTGGGCAGCGCCAAGCCCTATCCCCGCGCACCTGGAAAGTCGCTTGCTGCCC